TGTACTTAAAGTTTAGCAGTAATTAATCTCTTACACGTGAGGAGAACTGGGATTTTAGCTGCCTATACATGTAAGGCAGCAGCCTCCAGGGGCTGTCAGCACCGCCGCACCGTCCTGGGTGTGCTCTGAGTCATCTGGCGCCCACACCACACAGGACTCATCTTCACCAGACTCTGCATCGAGCAGCTCACAGCTTTAAAATATAGAGCATTCAGTGCCAGGAGCATTTTTAAGTGGCCAGTGATTCTCAACCTTCCTGATGCCGCGACCCTTTAATACAATTCCTCATGTTGTGGTGACCCCCAACCATAAAATTATTGTTGTTGCTACTTCATAACTGTAATTTTGCTACTGTTATGAATGGTAATGTAAATATCTGATATGCAGGCTGTATCATCATTGGTCGCGACCCACAGGTTGAGAACCACTGCCGTAGACAATCCATAAGGGCTTCAATGCCACTGAAATCGTGAATGATTCAGAAACTAACAGGACAAGAGGGGAAGGAATTGTGTGCTCTTCACTGATCAGAAAGCTGTCAGATGGCAAGGGGACAGCAGAGTCCAGACACAGAGTCTGTGAGGGGGCCAGACCAGGTCCATGGGGTCAGACCAGTGTCTGTGGGGTCAGATGGGCATCTGTGGGACTACATCAGGTCCATGGGAGCAGAGCAGCATTCATGGGGTCAAATGGGCATCTGTGGGACTATACCAGGTCCATGGGAGCAGACCGCCATCTGTGGGAACAAACCAGTGCAGATCTCCACAGCTGAGGGAGCGAGCTGCCTCCCACCTGTGCGGAGTTCTGAGGGCCCACAGCTCTGCGCCCCGGCTCCTTTCCACGTGGTGACTCAGGGATCCAGACTGTTCCCTCAGGCTCCACGCAGCCTGGAACAGGAAGCTGCTGGTAGGAGAACAACACGCGAGGACCTCCAGCCAGACTCTCCCCACAGCCCCGCCTGCCTCCCAGGCAGTCAGATGGGTGCATTGCTCCTGGTTTCTGCCACAGAGATACCCAAAGAATTTGTTATTCCAAGGGACAGAAGGAATAGATTGAAGTCCAGGGAGGCATATTGCCCCAGATTTTTGCATTTGTAAATGAAATCCATCTCTGGATTTACAGATGCACATAACTTCTCAGAAGAATACTGTGTGTGTTCCATCTACATAAAACCAATGCCTCTTTCTCTGTCCTGTGGAACATTTTGAGTAATTTGTAATTATCTATTCCTGACGGTTTGACTAATTCACTTAAGAAGCACCTATGCTGAGCTCTAGGAGCGACGCTGAACATTTTCATAATTTATTGTTGTTACTAACCTGCTTTTGTGTTGTTCTATACCTGAGGTTTATCTCCCTCTCTGTTTCTGGGAGCAGTTTGCTAATTTAGAGTTTTCTAGAAAATCACCCATTTGGTTCAGTTTCACATGGATTCGCATAGAGTAAAATATAGTCCTCTTTTATAATTATCTTAATTTTGCTTCTACCAATGATTATTCTTTGTGCAATTCAAATTCTGTTGTCTATGCTTTCTTTTCTTGATTAGTTTTTACACCTATTGTTTGTTTTGTTTGTTTTGAGACAGAGTCTCAAGCTGTCACCCTGGGTAGAGTGCCGTGGCATCACAGCTCAAAGCAACCTCCCACTCCTTAAGCGATTCTCTTGCCTCAGATTTCCAAGTAGCTGGGACTACAGGAGCCCGCCACAATGCTCGGGTATTTTTTTGTTGCAATTGTCATTGCTGTTTAGCAGGCCTGGGCTGGGTTTGAACCCGCCAGCCTCAGTGTATATGGCCGGTGCACTACCCACTGAACCACAGGCTCCGCCCCTATTGCTTGTTTTTTAAATAGTATTTTATAGATTTATTTTGTCAGTACTCTACAATCGTTATAATTACCTTTTTATATTGCTTTATTTTTTCAGCTGCTTCTAACTTTTAGAATAGGTTGGACTTTTTAAATACTAATTATGTTTTAATAATTATGAAAATATGAATTTTCAAATCATCAGATGATCAGTGAGTGGCAAAGAATATACCAAAATTACTATTATCTTCCATAAAATATTGTTTCTGTAAAAGTTCCTTGTTGACCTATTTGTCCTCACAGTATGGGGTCAGTGTGTAGTCTGGGAATTGGGCAGACCTGGGGTTTGAGACCTAGGGGTTCGATGTCTGCTGTGTGATCTGCAAAAATCACCAAACCCCCCTGAGCCTCACTTCTCACCTAGAAAATGAAGCCAGTAATCAGATCTGGGTCATGGCCTGTCATGAGATTCAGATGGGCTGTATGTGTCTGAAGCACTCAGCACAGTTCCTAGTGCATGTTAGGACTTTACTATTATTAAATCCCGATTGTTAGCTATAATAATCTCTGGGTCAATATGAAACATGGTCCTGTTAAACAGGATTTTAATTAATATGAACATACTGCCGGAAACTCCGAGGTTCAAGCTGAGGGCCGTGCTGTGGAGCCCACACTGACTTCAGTTTCTTTTTGTCCAATTAGTGAGGTCTGTGGTCAGCGGCTCCAGACCCCTGCAGACGGCAGCAGGCGGGAGGCAGTGGATAAGTGCTGTCTGCTTTCTGTTTGTGTTGCTTTTTTGGTTTGTTTTTCTTCCTCCTAATGTGATGTTTTCTTCTGCGGGACAGTGTCATCTGACAACCTTACCAGGTCACTGTCCACTGACACAGCAGGGTTGCAGTGGAGAAAGAGTTTAATATCTCAGGCACCCTGGGAGGAGATGGGAGGAAGTTCTCCAATCTGTCGCCCCAAGAATTTGGGAGAAAGGATTTTTAAAGATAGTTTGGTGGGCAGAAGGCTAGGGAATCAAACGTGCTGGTGGGAAGCAGAAGCTGTCTTCTCGTTGCTGAGGCAGTTCCCAGGTCACAAAACCTGTTGAGTGCATTCCTTGGGCCACTCTCCTGGGTGGGTCAGTTGGTCCACCAGAACGCAGAGCCTAGAGCAGTGATTTTCAACCACTGTGCTGCAGCACACTGGTGCGGCATGAGAGGGTCTTAGGTGTGCTGTGAAAATTTTTAAAGATCATTAATTAAATTATTTTTGAAATAAGTTCAAAGCACAGTAAGTATTTTTTTAACCCTTTTTTGATCAGTATCATTTAAGTGCACTGAGAGAAAAAAGGCTCGGCGCCCATAGCTCAATGGTTAAAATGCCGGGGCTGGCAGGTTCAAACCTGAGCCAGGCCTGCTGAACAACAATAACAACTGCAACAAAAAATAGCCAGGTATTGTGGTGGGTGCCTGTAGTCCCAGCTACTTGGGAGACTGAGGCAAGAGACTATCTTGAACCCAAGACTTTGAGGTTGCTGTGAGCTGTGACGCCACGGCACTGTACTGAGGACTGCAAAGTGAGACTCTGTCTCAAAAAATTAATAAATAAATACAAATAAATAAATAAATAAAGACGGTTGAAAAGCACTGGTCTAGAGCGTGACTCAAAGATCAGCCTCAGGTTTCACAGGGTGATGCTGTCTGTGGGGCAGTGGAGGAAGCCGAGCATCTATCACCATCAGCCGTGTGACTCCTGAGCAGTGAACAATCACAGGAAAGCAAGCCGGGAACGGTGGCTTTTTAAAACTATTCATACACCTTTGCAGAGTTTAGGCCCTGCCACTGTCCCCACCTTGTGGCCTTCTATTAGTTTTATAGAGGGTTGCTTCATCACCAGCTGCGAGGGGTCTGAGGCTTTGTCCTTCCTGCAAGCCTTAAAGTTAGCTGGCATTTTCATGAATGCTGACAAAAGACATGAGATTCCTGGGTCAGAGACAAAGGATTTCCCCAGTTTCCTCAGGATACTTCCATGATACTCATGATGGGTTCCATCGCTAGAGAATAGTGCTGAACTTGGGAAACCTAAATCCTTGATTGTGGCCACTAAGGACATGTGCCTTTCACCCCAAGGGGGCACATTCTTACCTCCAAGGCTACGCTCCGTGCAGGCATCCTTGTAAGGATGGTGTGGTACAGAAAGCAGTCAGGACCTGTGCTCACAAGACAGGCAGACACGAGACTGCCATGGAGAATCCTCTCCCGGTCGGTCTTTGAGGGTGCAGCCAACTTGTGTTAGAGACCGACAGGTACCTGCCCCAGAAAGCATGAGAGTAAGTTGGCTAGCACTGCTCAGTCCCCGGCCCCTGGGCCCTCCTGCACTGAGCGGCACACAGGACAGTGCAAGGATTCAGTGATGCAGGCCTTGCTGCTGTGGGGTGCTGTCCTCCTGTGCTGTCCTCTGGGCAGCTCTGAAACACAGACACCTTTATTTTTACTTCACCCTTGACATTTTTGAAATAACAGGATTTTTTTCTTTATTTTTTATGTTTTTCTCATTATAAGCCTTAGATCATTTATTTCCTTTCTTATGCTTCTGAAGGCAAAAGAAAGCCTGAATCTGCCTTTTAGAAGCCATGCTGGGCTCTCCAGCATAGATGGCGGGGCCTCTCCCAGCCCCCACCACCAGCCCTGTGACTCCGTCTCATGCAGGGAACTGATGGGTTTTCTTATACGTATGGTGAGAGTGGGTTTGTTGTTCTGTTTTGTTGCAGCAGAATCCTGAAATATTTGGTCAGAATATTACTTTGAAATTTGCAAATGTGATGACATCTACCATTAAGAGTAGCCATAAATAACCCACTCATATTTTATCATGATTTTAAGGTATTTTTAATTAATCATTCATTTTGTTTTTTTATTTTACTTAATGCAATGCCAGAATTCATTTCAAAGGGTACACGACTTTGTATAAAGAATGCATGTTTATTAACACCTTAATTCTGACACACAGAACGTTGACACTCCACTGTACCTAAATGTCTCTTGTCGTTTTACAAAAAGCAAAGATTACCAAATGTTTACAGATGTTCTCCCCTGCCTGACACGTTAATGTCTTCATATTCTAACATGATATTGGGCAACTATATATGTGGGTGTAGACTTACATTTAAATTGGCAAATAAACTGACTAAATAATTTTGTCCAAACAGATTGGAGACATAAAAACAGCCGAAAAGTATTTTCAAGAAGTTGAGAAAGTGGCACAGAAATTGGATGGACTGCAGGGCAAAATAATGGTTTTAATGAACAGGTAAATATTTTTAAACTAAATATATATATTACCAAATTTCCCCCAAAGAGTTTAAGTTCTACTTACTGATCTGGAGAAAATATCCTCCTTTGTACCTCTTCCTGTCCTGTGCCTCTCAGAATTAGAGGCCAAGAGGTACATGGGGATTTTCTTGAATTTCATTGTTCTTTTAATCATAAAAACTGATTTGAAGGGGACATTTCTCCCTGTTTGTTTCTCAAAGAACTGCTTGTGTCACCCCACTGTCAGTGTAAGTTTGCTGAGTGCGCGTAGTCTCCACCTGTGTGTGCGCACACGTGTGCATGTGCGTGTGTGTGTGTGTTGAGGCCCGTGTGCTGTGCTCCCTGGAGGCTTCTCTGGCTGAAGCAGCAGGTGGTGGGCCACAGCTTTGTGTGAGCATCTGCTGAGACTGTCACACAAAGTGACAGTGTGTGACACTGTGACCAGAGTGTGAGAACAAAACAGGTGCCAGTTTTCTTATCAGGACATAATTTTAGGTCAAGTTCCTATGTCTAAATTAATAAAAAAAACTGAGGGCCTTGCCTATGGCTCAGTGAGTAGGGCACTGGCCCCATATACCGAGGGTGGCGGGTTTAAACCCAGCCCCAGCCAAACTGCAACAAAAAAATAGCTGAGTGTTGTGGCAGGCACCTGTAGTCCCAGCTACTCCGGAGGCTGAGGCAAGAGAATCGCATAAGCCTAAGAGCTAGACATTGCTGTGAGCTGTGATGCCATAGCACTCTATTGAGGGCAACAGAGTAAGACTCTGTCTCTAAAAAAAAACTGAGTGGTTTTAATTTGCTGACCAGAGAGTTTAGGCAGCGAATGCATCAGGGCCAGTGTGGCCTGTCCTGTGCAATGGGGTGAGCTTGTACTCCAGTGTCCTGGTTGCCCCCGTCATCATTCCCATGCTTTGTGTTTCAGAGCTTTCCTGCACCTGGGGCAGAACAACTTTGCAGAAGCCCACAGATTCTTCACGGAGATTCTGAGGCTGGACCCCACAAACACAGTGGTAAGACCCCAGAGGCATGCTCAGTGACCACAGGGCCCTCACCATCCCCATTTTGCAGGTGCTAGAAACAGACACGGAAATGCACCTGCGGCCTCCCTGTGGCCCACAGGCTCAGGCAGCTGCAGTGCTGGCTGGGTTGACCGCACGGGGCAGGGGTGTCTGCTGACCAACCGTGCAGCCCCTCACTGTGCTCCCCTCCTAGGCCAACAACAACGCGGCTGTGTGTCTGCTGTACCTGGGCAGGCTCAAGGACTCCCTGCGACAGCTGGAGGCCATGGTCCAGCAGGATCCCGGGCGCTGTCTGCACGAGAGCGTGCTCTTCAACCTGACCACCATGTACGAGCTGGAGTCCTCACGCAGTGTGCAGAAGAAGCAGGCCCTGCTCGAGGCCGTCGCCAGCAGGGAGGGGGACAGCTTCAACACACAGTGCCTCAAGCTGGCATAGTCACTGCTTTCTGGAACACCCAGCATCTCCGTAGACTGTGTACATGGAGCTAACGTATTAATGCAGCTTGAGGGGCTTAATAAAACATCTTTTCCCTGATGTCTGGAGCATCTTCTTGATCCTGAGACTGTCTGGCAGCTGCTGGACTCCAGCCAGCTCCATCCTGCAGCTTGGCCACAGTTCATGGACAGGAACGGACCATGCCAGGGCTGCACTGACGCTTATGGGCACAGGCAGCCCACGCACACATGGGTCCTCCTGTTTATCCCTGGAGGCCAGCCTGCCTCGTTCACTACCTGAGCATCCAGAGAAAGGCTGGTGGACGTGAGCCCTTCGTGCCACACACCTGACGTTCTGGAGGAATTTTTGTCACTAATGGTAAAGAAACCATCTTTTTCTTCCCACAGCCCCAAACTAAACTTGTCAGTCTTAGTCAGCAGATTCTTTTTCAGCCTGACGCCTTGAGGGCCGGGTACTGGATGAAGAAGCTGTCATTTCTCCTGGATTTCGCCGCGTGGGGAGCAGAGCAGGACAAAGGCTTCGTGTGCACAATGAAATGAGGAGGGGCGTTCACAGCACAGGTCGGGAGGCAGGGGCAGAGCTTATAGTCTATTCTGTCATGCCAGGAAGTCAGGACATCAGCTGTAGTATTCACATAGTTGTCCTTGCTTTTAAAAAATTTCAAATACCTGAAAATTTCTTCACTTTATTGAAGATCTCTAGCAAGAGTGCTTTAAATATCTACCTTTTCTAATGCATTTTCAAACATACTCTAATAATTCATTTTAGAGACTCTGTAATATAAACAGCTAGTGCACAAAGCCAAGCTTGTTCCTAGTCAGTCTTTGGGTAAAGGAGAAACACAGAGACAGAGCATCTCCCAGACAGTCTGAATACGGTCTCATTGCACTTTACAGGAGGAGAAAAAAGAGATGAGACGCTGAAAAGGACCCTTGAACACCAAGGAGGTTTTAAAACCTTTCTCTTCAAAAACAGAAAAAATTAAACTTTAATTTTATAAAGCCCCCAAAGTTGATATCATTTCACACGTTGCTGACTGGCCACAAGTTACCCATTGACGTGGATTGTTTCTCTGTAAAAGTTTCATCAACTAATATCAAGGTGTTAAAGGCCCTCGGTGATTCTGTATTATAAGCAGCTAAGAGATGAAGAGAGAAGCAGGCTGACTCGGGGACAGCTGGGAACTGAGACTGGGCGAGATGGATCAGGGACAGCTGCTCTTAACACATTTCCTGGCAGTTTTACCCTGAAATATCTGTGCTACCTGGTGACTCGTGACCAGTCAGCAGCGTGTTCAGGTCCCTTCTTGGAGGGTTTTCCTTCAAGTCTGGCTGCAGGACTGAGGGCTTTTCTCATGCTCACTCCTGACGCCACACCACACCAGCTCCTGAGTGGAGGTTTTCCTGCCTGTGCTCCGCTGAACCTGAGAGCCGTGTTACCTTGGTGGTTCTCAAAGTGGGGTCCCGGGCCCAGTAGATCTGCATCTCCTGGAATGTGTCTCAGAAATGCACATCCTGGCTCGGCGCCTATAGCTCAACCGGCTAAGGCGCCAGCCACGTACACCTAAGGTGGCGGGTTCAAATCCCCAGCCCGGACCCAAATACAGGGGATAGA